TAGTGTCATTGTGTTATCTGTAGAGTTGGTGTTTCTGATGATGTTCTCTGGTCCTTTCTAGTCTTTCTTGCGTTCGTTCTTTTCCCCCACTCACAGAATCCTCAATATTTCTTGCAGGGATGGTTTAGTGGTCACAAATTTCTTTAGTTTTTGTTTGTCTGGGAAATTCTGTCTCTCCTATTCTGAATGACAGCCTTGCTGGATAAGGAATTCTTGGCTGCAGATTTTTCCCATTCAGCAATTTGAACATACCCTTCCATTCTCTTCTGGCCTGCCAAGTTTCTGTGGCAAGATCTGCTGTGAATCTGGTCTGTCTTCCCTTATAGGTTAAGGGTTTTTTTTTTTCCTTGCTGCTTTCAGGATTCTTTACTTGTCTGTGTATTTTGTGAATTTGATTATGATATGCCTTGGTGATCATTGATTTTTGTTTAATTTAATGGGAGTTCTCTGTGCTACTTGGATTTTGATGGCTGAATCCTTCCCCAGATTAGGGGAATTTTCAGATACAGTAAGCCTCCTGCCCCTTTTTTCTCTCTTCATCTTCGGGGACTTCTATGATACAGATGTTATTCTGTTTTAATAAGTCATTGAGGTACCTAAGTCTCCCTTCGTGATCCATTACCATTGTTTTCCTCTTCTTTTCAGCTTCATTATTTTCCATTATTTTATCTTCTATATCACTGATTTGTTTCTCTGCTTCGTCCGTTCTCATTTTTATGGCCTCCATTTGGGCTTGCATCTCTGTTATAGCAATTTTAATTTTGGCCTGACTAGATTTTAGTTCTTTTATGTCTGCAGTAAGGGAGTCTCTGGTGTCTTCTATGCTTTTCTCAAGCCCAGCTAGTAGCCATATAATTGTTTTAAATTCTATTTCAGACATCTTACTTATATCTCCATTGATTAAATAAATGCTGGCCATCATTTCTTCCTGTTCTTCCTTTTGGGGTAAAATCCTTTGTCTCATCATTTTGGAGGAAAAAAATAATAAAACAACAAAAATAAAAATAATAATTAAAAAAAAATTAAAAAATAGAATACATAAAGGGAGCTAGATTCTAGGTGTGTTTTGGTCTGCTTTTTATGGGAAGCTTGTTACAAAAAAAACGTAGAAAGAGAAAAAAAAGAAACAAAAACAAAAAATAAAATAAAAAATATGTAAAATAAAAGAAAATAATAAATGTTGTTTTTGTATTTAAAAAAGGAAACAAAACAAAACAGACAAAAACCAAAAAAAAAAAAAAGAAGAAACAAATATCAAACAAAGAACAAAAAACTCAGAGGAAACTAGATCCTAGAGCTAAAGCTTTACAGCACTGTATAATAAGCAGACTTGGTGTGGGTGAGGGGATTGTGCTGGTTTTTTTCGGGAGGGACCAGTTGCTCTGATTTTCAGGTGGAATTCCTCTAGTAGAAGTGTGCCTGCTTGGCAGGGGGAGGGGGCAGGCTAGGTATAGTGGCCTGTAATCCACTTGGTGCTATTTAGCTCATTGAGGTGGATCATGCTGGTGGGTGCAGGGAGAAAATGGTTTTGCAGTGTTCTCTTGTCTCTGCAGTGGGGAAATGGGCACCACCCCTCTTTAATGAGCCCTCAGAGACATGCAAACAGTGACCCCTCCTGCGTTCCTGGTTTCTTTCAGATCCCCGCCTTAACCCTGTTTGTGTTGGAGCTGTCTGCCTGCCAAATGGCACAGCACTCCTGTGTTTTTTGTCAAGTGGGGCTGTGTTTCAGAACCCCACGCTTTAGAGACCCCTGAGGTGCAGATCTGCACTGATCCTCTGGGGGAGGGTTTCCCTGCATTGTGTACAGTGCTGGCTTGTAGCAGAAGACAGTGGAAGAATGGTGCAGCAGTTGAGAGTCATGGTGAATTGCAATACACAGCCAGTGGCAGATTTTGTAGACCCCAGCCAGTGTCTTTTTTCCTGTACTGGTGGGCAGGGCAGCTCAATGTCACTTTGCCTTTGCCCACAGAGAGGCCATATCACCACTCCCAAATGCCTTCAAGCTGTTTCTGGTGCTGGCTTGTCCCAGAAGACTGTTGCAAGACCATGCAGCCCTTGGTGTTTATGGAAATTGCAACACACAGCCTGTACTTGGGTTTGTAGTCCTCAGCTGGAGTCTTTTTTCTTATACTAGTGGGTTGGGCAGCTGGATGTCTCCACAGGGTCTTTTGCCCACAGAGATGCCATATCACCTCTCCCAAATGCATTGCAAGCAAGAGAACTTCTCCCCATGTGGCCCTGGGGATCCGCAGGCTGTTTGCTCCTGGGGCTCAGCTCTGCTCCCCCACTGGAGCACCACTCAGCTCCCCAGGTGTGAACCTGGGTATGTCACAAACTTCTGAAACCGCGGAATATGTGCTTTGCTGTTTATAGAAAACTAGCAGTATTGTAGCCTTCTTCTTTTCCCCCCGTCAGTTGTTTTGAGCAATAGTTTTCTTGTGTAGTCCTCTGCACGAGTTTTCTTTTTTTTTCTTCCACGCTTTTTCTCTCTCTTCTCCTTCTCTCTTGCTACTCTGTCTTCAGTCAGGGCTCCCTCACCCGGGGAGTGCCCACCACTCTTATCTCCCATGTATCAACTCTCCACAGTGCCACCTTCAACAGGTAGTTTTTCTGGTTTATAGAAGTGCAGCAGCATTCTTTAAGACTTCCTATTGATTTCTTGCGTGTTCAGAATGATTTGATATTTATCTAGCTGTGTTCGAGTGAGGAGTCGGACTTACAGTTACCCTACTCCGCCATCTTAACCTCCCTCCTGCCAAAGGATGAACTTTTACTTTCATTGCTGTTTTGTTCTTTTTTCTTTCTTTCATTTATCTCCCCTCGTATCCTTATTGTTTCCTTTCTTCTAGTGTCTTTGAATTTAGTCTTCTTTTTCAACTTAAGATGTAAAGTTAGGTTATTTATTGGAAATATGTCTGTGTTTTTAATGTAGGCTTTTAGTGCTACAATTTTCCCTCTGAGCACTGCTTTCATTGCATTGCATATGTTCTGATATGTTGGTTTCTTTTTAAAATTTGGGTCATTTTTTATAGTTAAATATATATAACATTTTTCACTTTCACCATTTTGAAATGTACAGCTCTGTAGCATTGAGTATATTCATATTGTGCAATGATCACTATCGTCCATGTCTACAACTTTTTCATCTTTCCCAATTGATACTCTGTACCCATTAAATACTAATTAGTTCTCTTCCCTTCTTTTTCCTACCTCTGGCAACCACCGTTCGTCTTTCTGTCTCTGTAAATTTGATTATTCTAGGTACTTCATATAAGTGGAATCATAAAATATTTATATTGTCTTTTTGTGACTAGTATTTTTACTTAGAATAATGTTATCAGGGTTCATCCATGTTATAGCATGTGTCTGAATTTCCTTCCTTTTTAAGGCTGTATAGTATTCCATTTTATGCATTTACTACATTTTATTTATCATCTGTTCATCTGTCAGTGGACACTGAGTTGCTTCCACCTTTTGGGTATTGTGAATAATGTGGATGTACAAGTGTCTGAATTCCTGCTTTGAATTATTTTGGTTATATACCCAAAAGTGGAACAGCTAGATCATATGGTAATCCTATTTTTAATGTTTTGAGGAACTGCTATTGTGTTTTCCACAGTGACTACACCATTTACCTTCTCACCAGGAAAGCAAAGAGTTCCAGTTTCTTATTATCCTTGCCAACACTGGTTATTTTCTGTTTGTGTTTTTTTGTTTTATCATAGCCATCCTAAAGAGTGTGAAGTGGTATCTCATTGTGATTTTGATATGCAATCTTCTCATGATTCATAATGTTGAGCATCTCTTCATACGGTTATTGCCCATTTTTATATCTCCTTTGAGGAAATGTATATTGAAATCTTTCACTCAATTTTTGAGCTTTTCTTTGTTGTTCCCTAGTGTAGGAGTTCTTTATATATTGTGGATATTAATGTGATTTTTAAATAGTTTCTCTCATTCCATGGATTGCCTTTCACTCTGTTGACAGTATCCTTTTATACAGTTTTTAATTTTGATGAAATCTAGTTTGTCTCTTTTTCTTTTGTTGCCTGTGTGTTTGATGTCACATTTAGGAAATCATTGCTAAATCCAATGTGATGAAACCTCCATTATAATTTCTCCTAAGAGTTTTATAATTTTAGCTGTTATATTTACATCTTTGGTCTGTTTGAGTTAATTTTTGTATTTGGTGTTAAATAAGGGTCCAACTTCATTTCTTGCATGTGGACATTTACTTTTGCCACCATAATTTGTTGAAGAGACTGTTCTTTTGCCATTGAATGGTCTTGACACTATCGTCAACAATCATTTCAGTATAGATACATAGCTTTATTTCTGGGCTCTCTTCTGTTCCATTGGTCTATATGTTTATTTTTATGATATGACCATATTATTTTGGTTATTGCAGCTTTGTAATATATTTTGAAATCAGGAAATATGCTTCCAGCCTTGTTCTTCTTGTTCAAGATTGCCTTGACTCTTCAGGGCCTTTTGTGGTTCCTTATGAATTTTAGGATTTTATTCTATGAAAAAAGCCATTGGAATTTTAATAGGGATTGCATTGACTATATAGAAGGTTTTGGGTGGTATGGACATTTTAACAATATCAATATTTCTGAACCATGAACATGATGTCTTTTCATTCATGTCTTCTTTAATTTTTTCAGCAATATTTTATAATTTTTCGTGTGTAAGTCTTCCACGTATTTAGATCAATTTATTCCTATTTTAATTTTTTTGTTCCTATTGTGAATGAGATTGTTTTCTTAATTAACTACTTGGATAGTTTGTTCTTTGTGTATGGAAACATGACTGATTTTCATGTATTGATTTTGTATCCTGCAACTTTACTGAATTTGTTTATTCTAACAGTATTTTTATTGACCCATTAGGGTTTTCTACATATATGATCCTGTCATCTGTAAACAAAGATAATTTTATTTCTTTCTGATTTGGTTGCCTAATATTATTTCTTTTTCTTGTTTAATTGCTCTGGCTAGGACTTCCAGTACTATGTTGAGAAGAAGTGGCCAGAGTGGGCATCCTTTCCTTGTATTGGATCTTAAAGGGAAAGCTTTCAGTTTTTCTCCATTGAGTATGATGTTAGCTGTGAGCTTTTCATATGTGGCCTTTATTATGTTGAGGTAAGTTTCTACTATATTTATTTTGTTGAGAAGTTTTAATTGTGAGTAGTTGCTGAACTTTGTTAAATGTTTTTTCTGCTTCTACTAAGATGATCATCCTTTTCCCTTCATATGGTTAATGTGGTGTATCACATTGATTTACTTATACTGAACCATCCTTGTACCCCAGGGATAAATCCCACTTGGTCATGGTGTATGATCCTTTTAATGTGCTATTTAATTTGGTTTACTAGTATTTTATTGAGGATTTTTACATCTGCATTCATCAGGAATATTGGCCTGTAGTTTTCTTTTCTTGTAGTGTCTTTGGTTTTGGTATCAGTATGATGCTGGCCTCATAGAGGGTTTGGAAATACTACTTCATCTCGTTTTTGGAAGAGTTTAAGAAATCAGTATGAATTCTTCTTTGAATGTTTGGTAGAGTTTATCCTTGTAGCCATCTTGTCTTGGGCTTTTCTTTGTGGGATGGTTTTGACTACTGATTCTATCTCTTGTCATTGGTCTGTAGAGTCTGTTTTCTTTTTGACTCAGTATTGGTATTTTATATGTTTCTAGGAATTTACCCATTTTTTCTAGGCTTTTGTTTTCTGACATAGAGTTCACAATAGTCTCTTATGTTCCTTTTTATCTGTGAAGAAAATGTAGTATTGTCTATTTTTCTTTCTTTAAAGATTTTATTTATTTATTTATTTGACAGATATATAGAGAGAGCACAAGCAGGCAGAGCAGCAGGCAGAGGGAGAGGTTGAAGCAGGCTCCCTGCTAAGCAGGGAGCCTGATGCAGGGCTCCATCCCAGGACCCTGGGATCATGACCTGAGCCGAAGGCAGACGCTCAACTTACTGAGCCACCCAGGTGCCCCTATTTTTTTATTTTATTTATTTGAGTCTTTTTTTTCCCTTAGTCTAGCTAAGGGGTTTTTGATTTTGTTTTCAAAAAATTAACTCTTAGTTTGTTGGGTTTTTTTCCTGTTGTTTTACAATACTCTATTTGTTTCATTTATGTTCTGGTCTTTATGATTTCCTTTCTTCCACTGACTTCAGGTTTGGTTTGTTCTTCTTTATCTACCTTGAGGTGAAAAGTAAGGTTGTTTGTTTGAGACTCTCTTAGTTCAGGCTGCTCTAATAAAATAGATTGGTGCTTTATAAACACCAGTAATTTATTTTTCACAGTTCCGAAGGCTGGAAGGTCCAAGATCAAGGTGTCAGGAGATTCAGTGTCTGATGAGGGCCCACCTTCTGGTTCATAGATGGCTGTCTTCTTCCTTACGTGATGGAATAGCCTAAGGATCTCTCTCAGATCTCTTTCATATGGGAAGTAATCCCGTTAATGAGGCTGTACTTTCATGACCTAATCATCCTTGAAAGGCCCTACCTGCAAATACCATTGCATTGTGGATTAGGTTTTTTTTTTAAGATTTTATTTATTCATTTGACAGAGAGCACAAGCAGAGGCAACAGCAGGCAGAGGGAGAGGGAGAAGCAGCCTCCCCGCTGAGCAGGGATCCCAGTCCCAGGACCCTGGGATCATGAGCTGAGCCGAAGGAAGATGCTTAACTGACTGAGCCACCCAGGCGCCCTTGGATTACGTTTTAACATGAATATGGGTGGGGGGCACAAAAATGCACTCTGTTACAGATATCTTTTTTAATGTAGGCACTTAACACTAAAGTTGCATCTAACTACTACTTTTGTTGCATCCCTTAAGTTTTGGTATGCTCTGTTTTCCTGTTTGTCTTAAGATACTTTTTCTTAAAGATTTATGTATATATTTGAGAGAGAGAGGGCAAGTGTGCACATGAATGGGGGGAGGGGTAGAGGGAGAGAATCTTCAAGCAGATTCCACGCTGAGCACAGAGCTGGACAAGGAGCTCCATCTCCTGACCTATGAGATGATGACCTGAGCCAAAGCCAAGAGTTGGGTGACTGAGCCACCCAGGTGACCCTGTCTCAAAATACTTTTTATTTTTTCCCCTCCCTCCTTCTGTCATTCCTTCCTTCCTTCCTCCCCCCTTCTCTTCTCTTCCTTTTCTTTTCTCTTCTTTCTTTCTTTGTAACTGACATTCAGCGTTATATTAGTTTTAGGTGTATAACATAGAAATCAAGTTTATAAATTATGCTCTGTTCATCACAAGTATAGTTACCGTCTGTCACAATACATTGATATTATAATATCTTTGAGTATATTCCTTATGCTGTGTCTTTTATTCTCATGACTTAAGCATTCCATAACTGGAAGTCTGTATCTCCCACTTTTCTTCGCCCATTTTGTCCAACACTCCCACCCCAATCCTCTCTGGAAACCATCAGATTATCCGCTGTATTTATAGGTCTCATTCTGTTTTTGTTGTTGTTGTTTATTTATTTGGTGTTCTAATCCCACTTATGATTGAAATCATATGGTTTTATCTTTCTCAGTCTGACTTATTTTACTTAGCGTAATACCTTCTGGGTCCATCCATGTTGTCTTATATTGCACAATGCCATCCTTTTTTATGGCCATGTAATATTCTGTGTGTGCGCGCGCGTGTGTGTGCGCACACACGCATGTGCACACAAGCACGTATGCACACCACATCTTCCTTATCCAGTTGTCTATTGATGAACACTTAGGTTGCCTCTATATCTTGGCTAATATAAATAAAGCTGCCATAAACATAGGAGTGTATTAATCTTTTCAAATTAATGTTTTCATTTTCATTGGGTAAATGCCCAGTAGTGTAATTATTGGATCATTATGGTATATATAGTTTTAATTTTTTGACAGACCTCCATACTGTGTTCCACAGTGGCTATACCAATTCACATTTCCACCAACAGTGTATGACAGTTCCTTTTTCTCCACATCCTCACCAGCACTTACTTCTTCTATTTTTGATTTTAGCCATTCCAATACATGTGGGGTGATATCTAATTGTGGTTTTGATTTGCATTTCTGTTATGATTAATGATGTTGAATACCTTTTCATGTACTTATTAGCCATTTATATGTTTTCTCTGTAGAAATGTCTATTTACTTACTCTGCCCACTTTGAAATTGCGGCATTTGTTATTTTGCTACTGAATTATAGGAGTTCCAAATATATATTTTAGATATCAACCCCTTATGAGTTATATGGTTTGCAAATAATTTCTCGTATTCCATAGGTTAGATTTTCTCTATGTTGATTGTTTCCTTTGAAGTGCAGAAGTTTTAGAGTTTGATGTACTCTCATCTGTGTATTTTTACTTTCCTATACTTTTGATGTCCTATCCAAGAAAACTTTGCCAAATCCAATGTCACAATGTTTTCCTCCTGTTTTCTTCTTGAAGTCTTACAGATTTTATTTTTTTTAAAGATTTTATTTATTTGACAGAGAGAGACACAGCGAGAGAGGGAACACAAGCAGGGGGAGTGGGAGAGGGAGAAGCAGGCTTCCCGCTGAGCAGGGAGCCTGATGCGGGGCTTGATCCCAGAACCCTGGGATCATGACCTGAGCCAAAGGCAGACGCCCAAAAGCTGAGCCACCCAGGTGCCCCGAAGTCTTACAGATTTTAGATAAGATATTAGATATCTTATATTTAAGTATTTAATCTATTTTGAGTTGATTTTTGTGTATGGTATTATGTAAGAATCCAGCTGTAGTTTTTTGTATGTGAATATCCAGTTTACCCTTACCATTTGTTTAAGAGACTGTACTCTCTCATTGTGTGGTCTTGGCACTCATAGGAGACTATTTTAATATATGGGCAAGATAATATTTCTGGGCTTTCTATTCCATTCTTTTGGTCTATATGTTTGTTGTTATGCCAGTCCCAACTGTTTTGATTACTGTTGCATTGTGACATATTTTGAAATCCATAAGTGTGAGGCCTCCAACTTTTCCCTCTCAAGATTGTTGTGGCTTTTCAGGGGCTCATGAGTTTCCATATGAAGTTTTGGACTTTTTTTCTATTTCTGCAAAAAAAAATGACATTGAGTGTTTGATTGGGTTTGCATTGATTGTATAAATTGCTATGGGTAGTATGAGTGTTTTAACAGTATTAAATCTTCCAATCCATGAATATAGGATATCTTACCATTTATTTGTGTCTTCTTTCTTTTAGTAATATTTTATAGTTTTTAGAGTAGAAGTCTTTTGCCTCCTTGGTTAAGTTTATTCCTGATTACTGTACTACTTTTGATACTGTTGTAAATAGGATTGTTTTTGTAACCTTCATTTTTAGTTTATAGAGACACATCTGTTTTTTTGTTTTAATTTTGCATTCTGCAATTTTGCTGAATTCTTTTATTAGTGTTAACAGTTTATTTCAGGAATCTTTAGGGTTTTCTTATATAAGGTTATGTCACAGGTGAATAGAGATAATTTTACTTACCCATTTTGGATGCCTTCCTTCCTTTCTCCCCATCTGCCCCCCCCCCCTTTTTTTTGGTCTAATTACTGTGGGTAGGGTGTCCAGTACCACATAGACTAGAAATGGTGAAAGTGAATGCCTTGTGTTGCTCTGGATCTTAAAAAATTCTTTCAGGCTTTCCCTGTTATGTATGATGTTAGCTGTGGTCTTTTAATTTATGAACTTTATTTTGTTGAGGTGGTTTCCCTCTTTTCCTAGAATTTTTAGTGTGTTTTCTTTATGAAAGGTTTTTGAGTATTATCAGATGCTGTTTCTGTATCAAATGATATGATAATGTGGTTTTTATCCTTCATTCCATTAATGTGTATATTACATTATTTAATTTTTAGATTTTGATCTATCCTTGTATGTCAAGAATGAGAACTTGGTCATGGTGTATACTCATGTTAATGTGCTATTGAATTAGATTTCTTAATATGTTTTTGAACATTTTTCTATCAGTATTTATTAGGGGATATTCCTATATAATTTCCTCTTTCTTTAGTGTCTTTTTCTGCTTTTGTTTACAGGGTATAAATTTCAAAGTGTTTTCTCCTCTTCAGCATCTTGGGAGAGTTTAAGAAAGGTTGATATTAACATTTAAAATATTTGGTAGAATGCTTCCATG